AAGTCCTTTATTACTACACAGCTCCTCAAAGTAGACAAAAATAAAATAAATTACAGAGCATAACACATACTTTGACCTTTAAAGACACTTCACAAAATACTCTGTTTCTTAAACAAAACTCTCATTAGTACTTATAACCCTATGTTTTAACTCATGAGGTTGAAATCTGGGTAAATTAACCTACTTGCTATTAAAATTTTACCTAAAACTTGGTATCTCTTGATGGTTATAAATGGCTATGAAAAAATTGAGAAGCTAAAATCACATTTATTCTCTTATTTCAATGTTTTACCCCAAATTTGCATGTTTGCTACCATACTACAAATGTTCTGTTTGATATTTGCTAAAATTATATTTAAAATTGATATTATCTCATTTAAATATAAATCAAATGAGAACAATAGTTATTATCTCATGAAATATTATATGGCTATAAACAGGCAAATCATTAATGATTCAGTCAGTAGATTATATATGCTGTTAAATGATTGTCTTTATTTCTGTAAGAGAGGAGAGTGAAGACTGAGCCCACAGTCTTCAAGCTACAGACTTTGTAGCTCTGTCAAAGTTTAAGATCCTTGATGTTCCTGGAGGACTGGTGGATGAAGTTTCAAGAAATGCATCAATTGTAACACCCAATATTAAGAAAAAGCTGTACCATACCAGGAAAACACTACATTTGTATAAAATTCTCACTTCACAATACCTTCTAAACTTATCAGTAGTATCTAACTTCTAAATAGTGAATTTACCCTCTTACAGTAGTTAACTGCACATGTGCTTGTGTTCTACTTAAGAAGAGTAGAAAAGGCTTCCATGAGTATGCCATCATTGGAGACAACAACCAAGAATGTAGGTAGAAGATCTTGCCAACTATTTTTCTCTTCTTTCAGAGATATAAATAGAAGTCTAAAAACACTTCTAGAATTTGGAAAAAAGGAAAAAAAAAAAAGGATTTCTAGGATTTCTAGCAATACTTATGTGGGAAACATTTTTAATTAGTTGTTAAAATTGGGCTCAAAAATATCAATTAACTGAAGCTATTTTTCCCTACAGAAAAACTATAGCACTAATAGAGAAACATCAAAGAATATATATGTATCATAAGTATGCACACATAGAAAGAGAGAAAGAAATGGAGACAGAGAGGGAGAGACAGACAGAGAGAGAACGACAGAGACAAAGGGAGAGACAGAGAGAAAGTAGTCCCCCAAAACATGGAAGTTTCTAAGGTCTACTCTGAACTTCTTCATCAGGAGGCATGTGATACATCTGATGTATAGGTATATTTATATAATGTTAATAGCGAAAAAAAAAAAAAACAACATGAAATAAAGGCAGGTATTGAAATCTAGATGCACTCTCTTAGTTGCATCCTAGAAAATACATACAAGGTTATTCAAAACTTCCTTTAAAAAGCCATATTAATCTTTACAACTTAGCACAAAATACACTGAAAATCACAATGTCTATAAAAGTTAAGTTACTTATTCATATTATGTGTGCAAATCAGGGCAGCCTTTTCAAAACTATTCTTAAGTATACAATATTGAAAGACAAAACTAAATTCAAATTCACCATAACTATACCATTTCAATGTAAACAGAAAATTGACACTTATTGTCCCACACAATATTTGAGTCAATTTACTGTCCTCTGATGACAATTAATCATGCATGGTAAGCATCATTAGAGTGGCTGAAAACATTTCTTAAGCATAAAACAAACAAAAAACTAGCAAATAACAGGGCCTGAAAACAGTATAAGCATTGTTTTCTAAGTCTTACTCTGGAACAATGACTTTTAGCCATTGTCTTTAAAAATAAAGGACTGATTTCAATTTCATATCCCCAGTGTTTGAAAGTGAAGTGATTTCTCTGTTCAAAGTTTATACCATTTTTTCCTCTTCAAATCTGTGTATATTTTCGACTCTTATAGAAAAAAGTTTAAGTTTCCTGATCTCTAAATGCATTAAGGCAAACACTATTAGATCCGCCAGCCTCTAATACGTTTAAGGACCACGGCTCATAGCAGTTATGCAGTTAGCTTCTGTAACTATCTTTGAATTCATTATCATATTGAAATAAAATAACTTTTTTTTTATCCTTTAGTGGTTTTAGAAAACAAATTGCAATATCGCGGATTGAATCACAAATACACCACTTTGCTAAGTAAAATTTAAATCACCTACCATTCATCAATGGAGATAAGAATTTTAAGAATTTCTAATTTAAAATGAAAGGTAAAATTTGACATTTTTATTAAAATTACCCTAATATATCCTTGAACAGTTCAAGGATACCCATAGTGTAAGTTTGAGTATAAATTCAACCCAACTACTGTATCCCATATACTCATGCTTTTTACAGATTCACTATTAATGATAATATAAAGTCTAAAAATAAAAGCTATGACTAGGTATTTTAGCAAAAGACTATCCTTTAAACAATTCATCTATACTTATTCTGTTTTCTCTAATAAATTGATCTGTTCACCCGAAAAAGAGTTAAGTTAAATATCCATGACTGTAGCACAATACAATGAAACATAAAAATAGGTAGTATATTTTACTAATTGACATGTCACACTAAAAAGTAAATATTTCACAATTATCATAATGAATCAACAATGAAAAGGTTCATAAATTATAGACAGAAATATAGACAATAAATGATATGTTGGTAAAATGTTTAAGAAGTAAAATAACATGCACAGAAATCACAGAGCTGAGAAGTTTGGTGCTGATGGGAATAGAGGCCTGATGATGCATGATATACATACAACAAATATTGGCTGGATTTATTAATGAATAGCTCCAAAGTCTATCCTCCAAATTCTTAAGAAAATTATTGTGGCCATTGAGAAAAGAAAGTCTGTCTGTATATCATAAATACATTTCAGCCTCTCAAGTATTATTTCTGAGAAGAGAGCCAAGTTCTGTGAATATACTTGGTAATTTCTCATAAAGGTAAAATTAAGCTGCAATTTAATAATAACTGGTCTTGTGTATAAATATAAACTGATATAAAAATAAATGAATTTGTTAATTGTTCTTTTCTGTTTAAGAAAATGACTCAGCCTTAATCATAATAAAATCTCCCCTATATCCTCAAAAATTAAAATTTATGATTAAATTAAAGCTATGATTAAAATGTAAAAGTGGTAATTTTTATAAATTAGATCCAGATATGTCATTATTACATGAGTATTCAACATAGAAGGATTCCTATTTTATCCCCACAAACTCAACTGAGTCAGCTGAGTCAGAAATCCTATGACCTTTATGTCAAAAAGCCTATTAACACTATTTCATGTCTTTAACTCTCACAATAATCTTGTAATTATGTAAAGGAAAGTTTCTTTACTTTGCAAGTGGAAAAACTGAAATCATAGTCAGGGAAAACGTTTGGCTGAGTGTGATTCACAAAGTAAGTCTCAGACAGCAGGCTAATATTCACAGTCTCAAACTCTTAAATACAGAGGAAATATAAAACACATGAGTTTGTTTGTTTGTTTGTTTGTTTTCAACCATTTAACCCCTAAGCCCACAATAGTAAACCTACAACCCACTTCTCTGAAGAAAAAAAAAAAAAGAGAGAGATGAAACATAACTTTAATACATAAAGAAGAGTCTGAGAAGGCTTTGAGTTTCTGGCTGGTTTGGAATTAGGAAGCAGTAAAGGGCAAATGTGTGAAATACTGAGACCATCTCACCTTCCACTTCTTCACATGAAACAGCAAGATCTGTTTATCAGAATCACTTTTGACAAGCACAAAGAAGTCATGCTGGATACGTTTTCTACTTTAATTCCATGACTCAAATCTATGCTGGTTGAGAATATCTAATTGAATTATTCAATTTAGGTAGAAAACCATCTGCTCAAACCACTAAGTCTTCAATTCTTGCTGCTATGAAAACAAAGTAAGGCCAAAGTCAAGGAATTGAAGTTGCAGCAAATCTCGTCCAAGGAGACAAATAGCAACAAAGTGTGGGCATTTGCAAACTCTGATCAGCACAAACAGCATCGGGCCCCCAGCTATTCCACGGCAACACTGATAAGGAAAGTTCAGACTTTGCTCCTGGAGTCCTTTTTGTAATTTCCTCAGTCATATCCAACTGCACTCTATGTTTAGTTTATTTTTTTGCCAAACAGACTGATCTTAGCCACCTAAAAATTCTCATTGCAAAAGAAACCTCTTGTTGAAACCCCAAGTACAACCGACAGCCCCTTTCCAATTATCCCCTGCAACTTCCCCAGTCTCTTTCATGCCTAGCTACTGAGCTCAGTCTAGTTTGGCTGCCGGCCAGGTTCCTCTCTTTTTTTTCCTTGTCAGTCGTAAAAACTTGGAAAACACTCCTGGACAGCTCAAGGAGACCTTTAATTATGCAGTGGGGCAGTACCTTAGCCTGTCTGCTGTTTCCAGCAAAGCTTGTAGTCACCAGCGACTGCACTCTCCCAATTCATGGGTTTTCCAACAAGGCTACTTGTTCATATGAGGGGAAAAGGGAAAGGCTGACAGAGAAAGGGAGTAATTTGCAAATCTGAAGAATTTCCAATTCCTCTCAAAGTTTTCTACTTCCTCACATTCACTCTGTCTAATAATCTCCCTTACTTTAAGCACCTAATCACCCATTTTGTAATACAGACACAAAATCATCAGTATTGTGGTCTCCTGCTAGTCCTAGAATTGAGTCATGACTTGAACATTCTCCGTAACTTTTTATTCTCAAATGTTGGTGTAACATATTTTAAAAGCAGGCACAAAATGAATTTATTAAATCCTTCCAAATTGCATTATATTTTGTCAAACTTGCAGATTGAAACAGTGCATGTAAAATGTGTCTGATTGCAAATGAGAGTAAAGCGAGCTCAGCTGGGAAACAATACTAGGACCCAGGGAGGGGTACCTTGACTGCCAGTCCTCACTCACTTGGAGTTTGCCCAACGTACCAAGTGGACCCGCCAAGCCCAACACCAGCTAAGTCTTCCTTACTCTACCTTGGCACGCTAGTTCCAGCTGCAGCGTCCAGCTTCCTGTTCAAGTCCCATTCAACATCGTAAACACATTCCAAGAAAACCAGCCTGCCCAGAGTTCCCTCCCGCACACAGGGAAGTCAGCGCGGCAGCCGCAGGAGCTGCAGAATAGAAAGAACTGACTGCTCCGGATTCTGATCCGTGTAGTGAGTGAGGCCACGAGAAGCTGGACCCGCCAAGCGAATTTAGCAGTCGCAGCGAGAACCCAAGGGTTCATCACCCCCTCCAAGCCTTGCGCCCTCCAGAAGCAGCTACTTGACCCGCGCGGCAAAAGGGTAACCATGTGGACGCCGCCCCTTCCTTTTGGGCCCTCCCAGCTCTGGGCTTTAAAGTATCCGCGGCCCGGCCTTAGAGCTTCGCGCCTCCCCGCCCCCATGCCCACATTCTCTCCCTGCACCAACAAAAGGGAGGCTGCCCTGGAAGTTCGTTCTTGGGTCGCCTGGCTGTGACCCGACGATGACTTGCCTGCTCAGCCCAGTCTGATCCACGCACCCTCAGCCGGACTGATCCACGGTTGCCCCACCGCCTCCCTGCAGCTCCAGCCCACCGGCCCCCCGCCACCGGACCAAAGTTACCACAAAAGGCTAAGGAGGCTTCTGGAGCCCGGAGACCGCTGCGTCCCCGACCTCGCTGGACTCCCCGCGTCATTCCTCAAGCGCTGCCATAGCAGGCGTCAACAGGTCTTAGCCTCCTTTCGTGCTGGACGACTCCCTGAGCCGTTAGCTGTCCTAATTTTTCACAACCTGCCGGGCAGCGGCTACCCGCAGCTCCGCGCCCGCCTTCCCGGGCACTGGTGGCCGGAGCTGTCCACCCCCGCTGCCCCTCGCGGTATCAGTTTCTAAGCGATTCCACGCTACCTGGAGGGAGCCGGGGCTCGCAGCCAGGGAAGAGCCCAGATAAATCTCCGTACCTCACTGAGAGATGCAGTCAGGTCAAGCTTCGGGCAGGAGCGTGAAGAGCTGCCGGGTCCTCCGAGCCTGGCGATCTCCGCTCCAGCACAGCCGGGGCGCCGTCTCCGAGGCCGAGAGGGAAAGTTTCTCTACGTCAACACGGCGCTGGACTCGGGACCCTCCAGCTTCGGTCCCCTCCCTCTTCGCGCGCTCTCCCCCCTCCCTCCTCTTCCTAATCCGCTGAATCCAAAACTGGCTCTGGCGGCAGCTGGGACGCGGGGCTCGGGACTCCGGGTCGCTCCCGGCCGGGAATGCGGGGCTCCCCCTCTCGGTGAGAAGGAAACTCTCACACACTCCGGCTTGCGCACTTCTGGCGGTCTCCTTGGACACTTCCACACGGGACGCCTGTGTTCGAGCTCGCTGACTTTCCTTCATTAATCTCCGATGGTCGTTATTTGTGGGCCCACTGGGCTATCCCGCGCGTGCACGCGGAACCGGAGGTGGGTAGAGGGTGGAATGAGGGAGAAACCCATCTGCAGAAGGAGGGGCCCTGCCTTACTCAGCCTTTAGCCCGGACAGAAGCAAAACCACAGGCCCCCGCTCCCACCCCACTCGCGCGGCGTTTCCTTTCCAGCCTCGTCCCTGAGACACTAGAACAGGACCATTTGCCTTTTCTTATCTCTGTGTGTTTCCTAACACAATTTTAAAACACCTCTGAGGCTTCATAGAGGGGGAACGTGTCAAAAGAAATACACGAATAAGAGTAAAACATGCCGTCTTCACAGCCTTTATCAAGAAAGCAGGCAGTTGCTGCTGCTCTGGCCGCACCTCAGCAGACTGGTTTGTCCTCATTTGTTTTTTAACTCGGCCTTAATCTCTGGACTTTGTTATGCCTTAAAACAGACACTCACATACACACACGTGAAAATTGCCTTAACTCCCAGACCATACTAATTTGCTCCATTCAGATGCTTATCCCGGAATTAAGGACTTCTGTGTAGGATTTGAGGGAAAAAACAACAGCCCATTCTAATTGACCTTTAGTAGAGTTCTGTATGGGAAAGTGGGCGAAGAGGAGTATCCTCGCATAAGAAGTTCTTAAAGGATGAGAGGACCTTTACTAAAATTCTTGGTGCTGCTGAGAATTTAGTTTACTAAATTTTAGTTTGAGTGTGAAAATAGATGAGAAAAGGAAAAAGGCATTTTGCAAAGCTAGCAGTTATAATGTATTACAATGGATCCAGGGCTTAGAGTCAGACAGACCAGATTACATTCCAAACTCCATCCTTAGGCTTTCTGTGCCTATCAATTATAACTGCCAACAGGAATTATATAATCTAGCTCACGGAGTCACAGTCACATTTACAGGAGTTAAAATAGAGTCGTGATAGGCACAGAGAAAATACTCAATAAGTATTTGGTTCTTATATCCCACCATGTTTTACTGTTATTAGGAGAGAAGGTGGTGCTAGAAATTTTCCCCCAAAGACCCTGTAAGTGAATCAGTTTTCTTCTCCCTAATGCTTTTTCCATTTAAAAAGTCATCACTTCACAATTTTTGAAATGGAAACTATTTGTTTACAGATTAACTAGTTCCAGCTGAACTCTGTTATTTTAAATACAAGGTAATTGAAGTCTAGGGCTCTTGAGTGACTTTCCCCAAATCTCATAGTTTGGAGGTACTAAAGCTAATATCAGAAATCAGTCCTCTTAATAATTTGGCCAGGATCCTCTTTTAACTGTTCTTCCCTTTATCACAACAGTCAAGCATACATAAAAATAATTATATTAATAATCTGAGGACAAATGCTAGTTGTTTTTTCTGTAAATAACTCTTAAGCAATGAATTTAAGAACAATCATTAAAAATTAATGTCATTTAGATGATCACTTGGTATCAATGTGATTATAAAAATAAAACACATGGTAGTCCAGTATTTAGGAATAAGGTAGCTGATGAGATGAACAAATCCATGCTTACATTATATATTTACAGATAGATATTTTGGATTTTTTAGCCATAATATTAAAAGATTATAATAAAGAACTTTCAACTCCCAAGAATACATCAACATACCACTACGGTTGGCTTATCCTAGTTTGAGAACAACTAGATCAGTGTTCAGGACACACAATTCAACTTGAACAAGTTCAGGGCCAAAGAACAAATCAGGCTACAGAGATCAAACTTTCCATCCTGTGAAATAATGGAAAATCCCATAGCATGTATTTATTTCTCATTCATTTGCCTCTAGTACCTGGAAGAAGGTCTTTTTAAAAAATTATTCCTTGCCATACACAATGTTGAAAATCATCTGAACTTTTACATAACTAACTCCCATGTTCTCAGAGATGAGACCCTATATCTTCCTTCTAAGTAGGAGTTATTTACTACTTCGGCCTCATCCTCAGTTTCCTAAAGGCATATCATAGCCTCTTTAGAGATCTATCTTTCCTATCCTTGAGATTTGGAAGATCCTAAAGAGATTTAAAAAATATATATATATGGCTACAAAGCACATCCATCTTGAATGGATAAATGAAGACAGATGAGTCCTCATAACTGTCTTTTTCCAATCGTTACATACAGTGCTAAAGATTACTCATTTTTATATTTTCTCCCATTGTTTAAAGTCTTTAAACTTGCTATTGCTTTGTAATTTTTATAACCTGACTTTTGATATGATCTGCTTTGTGAAATGGCTCAGAGGTATAAAAATCTCAAGAGTGTCAGAACCAAGTTTTTAAAAACAATAAAACTAAATGGAACAAGATTTTAAAACAAATTTATAGCATGCCCCAGGAAGTAAAGAAGGGAGATGCCAAAGAAAAGGGTTGCACAAGCCTGGCAGGGCACTATGATGAGAAATATGCCTAACTTTACCTATTGCAAATACCTCAGATTTCCATTTGAAAGTTCTTCACATTCATCATAGGTGCATATAGACCATAATGGAAACTCAGCAGCTTTCCAGTAATTTAAAAATTAATTTTCTTGCTCAAACCAGAATTAGGTTTCTTTTAACCTGACTAAGGCAACCTTGGCTATGACAAAAAAATGCCTGCTACTTATCTTAAGAAAAACAGTTTTATTTCTGATTATTGCAAAAGCACACAAAAATATGCTGGTTGTTTAGCCCTGTATTTCTGCAAAACCAACATTTAAAGTATTTGACAACTTTTTAAAAACTGTAATGAAAACCAAGATTGAAATCCAAATTTCAGTCATGTGATTTGAAAGGGGCACATGTTTCTGTTTGCCGTGTGTAACAGTGACCGAATATCCTATGAGTTCCTAGAGGGCTCTAGGTTCCAAAGTTATTGTGTTACATTTACCTTCAAACCTCTATCATTTTATCTGTCATTCTGAAAGAATTGCTTTATTTTGATCTTCTTGATTAAGAACATGAAACTTGACCATTGCAAAAAAAAAAAAAAAAAGAAAAGAAAAAATAGGAGAGCAACTGCAAAAGGGAAATAAATATCACCTGTATTCCCATCACCAAGAGTACCCATTGCTCACATTTTCTCTATATGCTCCAAGGTTTGTTGAGGGCTCTGAGAGACTCAGGTAAATAGTATCCCTTCTTTATGCCTGGGTGGGGAATAAATTGACCAAAAGAAGTTAAAAATGAGAGCAAAATATTATTCTATTATTGACAGATAACGGATTTGAATTGGTAGATCCAAAAGCAAAGAACAGAAACAGCAGCCTCAGTCACATAGTTCCTGGCCTCCTTCTAACTTGAAAGGAGACAGTGCCTTTGAAAAAGGATTTAAATTGTTTTTTGACTTCTATTCCAAAGAATGAAAGAGAAAGGTAGCTGAACCTGGCATGCCCAGCAATTCTTCCCAAGTTTATTCCTAAGGTTATCTACCAAATGTCATAACATCTCTCCAAGGACAAGGAAAAGACTAGTCCTCTTAACCAGTAAAATATTTTGGCATGGAAACCAGGACTAGAGGAAAGGCATTACTCAGTACCCACAGCCATTTAACATTTTTCTTTCCATTAACGATTTTCTTTCCATTTTTTTCATGTGGAACTGTAACGTACATGCTACTAATTTCTCTTTTTTCTTGAGACAGAGTCTCGCTCTGTCGCCCAGGCTGGAGTGCAGTGGCGCGATCTCGGCTCACTGCAAGCTCCGCCTCCCGGGTTCACGCCATTTTCCTGCCTCAGCCTCCGGAGTAGCTGGGACTAGAGACGCTGCGCCACTAGGTCCGGCTTGTGTGTGTGTGTGTGTGTGTGTGTGTGTGTGTGTGTGTGTGTGTGTGTATTTTTAGTAAAGACGGGGTTTCACCGTAGCCAGGATGGTCTCCATCTCCTGATCTCGTCATCCGCCCACCTCAGCCCCTCAAAGTGCTGGGATTACAGACGTGAGACACCGCACCCGGCTCATACTACTACTTTCTAACAGTATAGCATGGGCTTTTTTCCCTGCCAGTGTTTATTAATAATTTTTTGCTATTACAAACAGAAATGATGGCCATTTGTACATACGTATTTTGTATGTCATCTGTTCACATATTGTGCCTATCCCTTACAGTTATTTCCTTAGAATAAATACCTACAAGTAGATTATCAAGTTAGAGTATAGACTTTTTATTATTTTGAAAATAATCTCACATTATAGAAAAGTTACAGAGTACAAAGATTTATTTTTATTTTTACCTGAACTATTTTAGTATAACTTGCCATCATGATACCTCATCCTTCCCAAATCCTTTGTGGACTTCCTTAAAACACAGATCTTCTCCTCCATAAAGAAGGTAAAACATCAAAATTCAAAAAATCAACATCCATATATTTCTGCATTTAATTCTCATGTCCTATTCAGGCTTCTCCAATTATTCCAACAATGTTCTTTATAACAACAGGATCCAGTTTGGGATCACAGTTGCTTGCAGTTATCATGTCTCTTTGACTTTCATGGTGTTGATACTTTTGTGAATTGTTTACTACTTCCCTGGCAAAAATGTAATTTATCATTAGAGACAGCTAATGTATTTTGGCTGATGAAAAAATGGAAGTATGATACTATATTCTTTTTTAAAAAACAATTCTAATAAGTTGTACCCAGTTTTGATTTTTTCCTATTACTAATGATCCTCACTTGATTGTCTGTCAAGACTTCTCCTCTGTAACATTAACCTCTCTCTCTCTTTATAATTGGTCCATATTGGTGGCATTGGTGGTATAGTGGTGAGTATAACTGCCTTCCAACCATAATTGGTCCATATTTCCTGGGGAGGCACTTGAAACTAGGCAAATACTTCATTTCTCATCAAACTTCCAATTTCTTAGTTCGTTTACTTATATTAGTATTGATACATGGCTTCCTATTTTACTTGCATAGGTATAATCTGTTTCTATGATGATTTATTTTTGACACTTAAATTATCTCAGATTTGGCCAGACACTGTTTCAAGCTAAGTTCCATATCCCTTTGCCGTGTATCTAGCATTCTGTGAGCATTTTCTCAATTTGGGGCATAAAAAGGTGTTCAAGTCTCATTTTGTATTTCCCCAGCCCCAGCCCAGGAATCAGTCATTTCTCCAAGAAATTTGTTTCTTTTTAGTGAAGGATGGTATTTGGAATCTGAGCTCCAGTAGCTATGTTTATTGCTGTTAGGTTTTCTTCCTTTGCTTAGGCCCTCTCAGTAACCAAAGCCAGGGAATATATGCATGTATGCACTTGTACATATTTACATCTTTCTGCTAATCTATCTGCTTATCTATCACCTATCATCTGTCAACATCTCTATCATCTCTATCATCATTTATCTATCTTGAAAGCCACGAGTTCAAACATTTACCTTCAATTGTAGTACAATACTACTTTTTGTATTTGTAGCCCCCTTCTCCTCTTGTAAAAATCTGGCTTCAACTGTCATTATTCTTAATATATTTTCTTAATTAATCAATGTCCTTGTCCATACCCAATCTCTCATGGCTGACACAGTCCCCTTTCCTATGTGCCCAGGCCACTCCTTCTACAGGAACATCCTCATCATCCTGCTCAGGTTCTTAACACCTCAAGATTGACAGCCCTCCTGTGCGCTCTTCCCTCACCTAGGGCTCTAGCACACAGTGTCAGGCTTCTCTCTACAAGGATTTCCTTTGCTTCTCGCATGGGCTCCAATTACCACACCAGGCTGTTTCTCCACTGGAACACCATTTTCATTGTACTTGGGCCTCCTCACTCATCTCTGGGCCACTGCAATACCCCCACCCTTATATCAGTGCAGATGCTTATGTTACTTGGCCCCTTCTAATAGTTTAAATACATATTGCCAAACAAATTCTGAAAAGTTTATAAAAACGTACATTCCCTTGAGCAATGTAGGTCAGTGTCATTTCCTCAACATGTGGTACTTGTGTTTTATTTATGACATATGTTGCCTATGTAGACTATAATGGACTCAGGTGCAGATGGCTGTGCTAAGCATGCTTCTTGGTGTTTGACACCAAGAAGTCTACAAGGTCCCTTGAGGATTTTATTTAAATATGTGCTTTTTCTTTGTTGAGGGGAGCTCTGAAAACATAAACAAATACAAACAAGTTCATTAAATATGTACTTTTATTTTCATTTCCTCCCATTCACTGACCCAGCACAAGTACTTAATATAATGTGTACTTTCATGTCTTTAAGGTGTACCTTTTTTTGTAAGTATTCTTTCAAAATATTTATTTTCATATGCATTTTTCATTTACCTAAATGATATCATGTAAACTATTCCATCTTGGCCCTTATTTTTTTTTTCTCCAAACACTTAAATTTTCAAGTAATCTTAGTGAAAAATTAGCAGCTCAATCGCTTTAATTTTTATTACTTTCACTGTTAATAAAACTGAATAAGTTTTCATAAAGTTAATAACTAT